TAATATCTTAGATTAACAGAAATGAGCTAGGAAATGTAATAACAAGCCTATTTATTAAAATTACTACCTGCAGTCATCTGCTTACCTCACCGAAAAATAACATCAGGAACGTATCTTTGTATCGACCCATAAACTTCCATGTAAACAATAGAGAAATCAAACATTGACAGAACTTTTGATAACATTTAATTTAACATGTTATCTAACATTTAATTTAACATTTAATTTTCGAAAGGCCCTCAAAAAAGCTTTGAAGACATGCTAAAATATGAAAAAAATATGAAATATGAATATGAAGGTCTATCAACCCAGGTTAAAATCGTCTTTTACTGCAATAAATAGCATTTTCCTTCTTAGACATTGTTTTCAATTTCATAAGAAATCATTTTAAGGCACAAAACTTACAGTTTAAAAAAGAAAAAAACAACTGTCATTTAAAACTCAACATATCAGTTAAACAAAACCCAACATGTAAATATTTAAAGAAAAATAGCTTGTAGTCCTGAGTTGATTGTTCAAATGTTGTGCATGAATTGTAAGATACTCAACTTTCCGAGGATTTGATTTCTATGCAACCTGCAATGTGTGCCAGACAAAAACTAAATTTATGAGGCACTCAACATTTCAAAGTAAAATCCTCCAATAAAACCTACACTTACCGTCTATGCTTTTTGCTCCGACGACCCCGTTCGAAGAGCACATGCTCAAAACTAGTTGCAAGACCCTTTTAGTTCCCGTTACTCCGCCATTTTGAGTTCTCAGGCAGGTTACCCCCGTTCCCCGTTCCCCGTTCCCCGTCCTCCTTTCTCCGTTCCTAATTTTAGTAACATCCCGATTTGAGGGGCAGAATATTTGACATCCAATTACTGACAAGTGTAACCCAAACTAGCAAGAAAAGCAAACACGTTCTAATTCCTGTGATTAGCGATCGTATCCCTTTTTCACCTGTCGTCAAAACTTCTATCGAGTAAACGCTAGGTACTTAAATGTAACTGGGATATGGTCGTAATTTGTAAGGTTCTTTTCATGTCATGAGGATTCACTTACAGAGGTATCGAAGGCCGGAGAAATTCGGTGAATTTTGTCTCAAATTTGTAAATAAATTATTTATCGACAGATTTTTCACAATGACTTGAAATTTTCACATGCGATATATGAAAAAATGATCGATTTTGCGGCGTGTCGTGGAATAAATGACCATTTTGGACAAGAACTTCTCTAAACCCTAGCCAATTCAACACTAGCTACTCAAAGTGATTTAGCACAAGCACAAAAACTACTGTACTAAAGATTATCAGTGCAACTCGCCAAAAAATCTTCCATTTTGACAATTTCTCCTCAAAAACTGAAAAAAAACATGAATAAACAAGTACTGAAATTTACAGAGTATCATTCCTGTACATTCTCATTCAAACAATTTGTGGCAGATCAAGACGTACTACGCTGTAAATTTTCTTCACCGCATATAGTTTTGGTTCGCCGAGTTCAGATCAAAGAATAAATCTACTCCGAGATGATGCTGCCGCAATAGCATAACACGCTGTAGCTGCACTATTTAATTAGCGAAAAAGGGGCAGTATCTTTGACATAATTCGTCTGAGAATCCGAGTTGCTTTCTTTGGCAAACTCTAACGTTCGGTCATCAAGGTTATCAAATACAAGAGGGTGGAGTCTCAATTCCTGCTTTTTTTTAACAAGATCGAATGAGACGCTGTTCGCGGTCAGTCATTCTATAGAGCATCTTCCCCTATGATTGTAAATAACCGAACCGTTTATTTTTCCGCGTTTTCATTCGCTACTGAAACCTAACAACCAATCATTAGCATTAATTGCGGTTAACCCCTTGAGTCTCAGAATTTAAAAGCGGTTATATAACTTCTCCTGACAAAATCAAGTTGCTATCCGGCAAATAGGTTATATGAGAATATGCAAACTGGTCAGCATATGGCTGTAATTTTGATATCCATCCAAATTCTCCTAACTACTGCCTAAGGAATTGTGAAGCACCTGAATGAATGACTAATGATAAGATTGGAGTTTAACACCTGCAACACTGGACACTTTTGCTTCCATCGAAACCGTCTTCATCTGCTCTGCGAAAATAATCATGGCATTTGAATGTGGGTTTTGCATGCCAGCTCGAGATTCTGTTTACTTTCAAATAGAAAATTTACACAGAAGGCTTGACCAAACAAACGACTTATTACTTTATCACCATAGAAATCGAGAAAGCGAACTCCGACAACGGGATAAACTTGCGACCAAGCTTAAATTAATCGAAGAAAGTGCACGAAGCTGTGCTTACAAATGTGGCCGAGAGTCTTCGAAAACAAAGAGAACGAGACCAGAGAAAGCATCAAGAGGAGACAATCTCCGTTCTTTTGCAAAGTGGAGGAAACAGTTGCAGATTGTTCTCGACGCCCTGGATGTCGCCATGGAATACCTTCACGGCGTTAATACCAGACGAGCTCGTCGGGCAATCGTTGAATTACAGGAGCTTAAAGATGATATTACTGCAAGTTTGATTGAAACCTCTCGTTTAATGTCGTCGGATGAAGAAGCAAAAACCGTTAGTGGTGACCATGATCTTCGAGCTTCAAAGAGAAGCTTGGAAGCGATTGTGAATGAGGCTGAATACATAAGACGTGTTTCGCACAACTTATCAGCGGAAATGAAGAATGAACTACAGGGATTGAAGAGCGAATGTGTTGCTATGGCTAAGGACTTGGTAGCACTAAATAGGATCTTAGAAGAACAAAAACGAGAGTTAATTGAATGAATTGAGCCACAGGTCTTGTTTGTGGTACATTATTGCAAGATAAACCTGAAGGGAGCACGATTGATGGTAAAAGTATTCATACCCACTTTTGGGCTCTACGTGGCAACAATAGAGCGTCTTGGCTTTCATTCTTTGATACCTTATATTAATTTTTCATTATGCCCAATCAGACTATGACCTTATGCAAGCAAAAGCAAGCACAGGATGTTGGTTTACCCATGGAACTGGAATTTTCCTTTTCAAATATCCATCGGTACTCAACATGTTGTTCCTTCTATTGATTAATAGCAGTCTAAACCGATTCTGCTGTATATAATTATGCACTTGCGCAAAGCAACACGGTATGTCATGGTCTTTGGCGCCTTCGAATGACGAAACAGTTGACTGGTAACTCTTCTGTGACTAGGCGTGTGCTTCTTTCGAACACAAATTAAATTAGAGCCGTTTCTCTGGCTCTAGTTTCCGCCAGAGCTTACACGTACTACACTGGTTTCGTTAACAAAGAGCGACTTGGGGTATTCTTACAGAAATGTGTACGGCAGGGGTTTTGCAGTTGGGCGGTCATAAAAATTACTGACTGTAACAAAGAACATGTGATTGTTTTAGTTTTGTCCCTCGATCGTGAAAAAAACTAATAACCACATTTCTTGGAAAAAATCCTCCCTGCACCTTTGAGCGAGAGTCAGTAAGTCGGTCAGCTCGAGAACATCGTAATGATACCTTTTAATGAGATCATCGAATTACTTCTTTTGATGATCCATTAATTTAAAACTAATTATCAAAATCGTGGATCAGTATCGGCAACTGGCCACAGCCTCATATATGATCCTCTTGCTCTTCCCAATACTCCTTTGCCATAATGGCGGAAAATCCGATGGAGGTCTGAGACTTGTTATGAATAATTTCACGAAAGCGAGGCCACCCGGGCAACACATGGCGACGCGAACACAAACTCT